CCAAGAGAGTGAGCAAAGCTACCATCTTTCCCAACATAACTTCCACCTATCCCTTCATTTTCCCATAATATCTCAGAGCTAGAAGGGCCCGTAGGAATCATTTAATTCAATCCCCTCATTTTACAGACTGGGAAACTGAAACCCAAAGACACTGATCCAGCTAGATTCCCATCCAAGCCCCTCTCCATTGTATCACTTCACCTTTTCTCTTCTCATCCTCCTTGGTGATCTCCTGCCCTTTAAGCCATTTGTGTCCTAAGGTCTATAACTGCTGAGGGAAGTGTAAGGGGTGGGGCAGGGCTGTGGCCAGCTGTGGTGGACACCACCCAGAGCTAGCTCTGCTGGCCAAGGTTGGAGGAATATTCCAGCACAGAAAGGGTAGCCAAGGCTCTTAAGTACCTCTTACCCCCATGTCATCTCTGATCTACATCTTCCTGACCGATTCCTTCCCTCCTCCCCTTCCCCCCCAACCAAGACTTACCAGCCAATGGCTTCAGCAGTGGAAACCAGCCAGTCAAGAAGAGTTTCTTGGTATATCGTAATGACTGCAGCCTTCCCCGGAGCAGCTCAGACTCTGAGTCCAGCAGCAGTAGCAGCAGCAGTGCTGCCTCAGATCGGACCAGGTACCAGCCCTCCAGATCAAGGCCTGCCTCTGGGATGCCCTTCTGGATTTCCCTATGGGAAGTGGGGTGGCAGCCATCTCAGCCTAGATTAAGATGGCTCAAATCCAAGGTTCTCTGCAAAATAAATGAAATAGATGAGCGTAGCACCATAATGGATTGGAGGGAACCATACAGGGTTCAGCTGATGTTTTAGAGCAGAGGGCATAAACTCTTGCTTTGTGGCCTGGATTTGGCTTACAGACATATTTTGTTTGGCCAGCATGGTGTGTTTTTAAAAATGAATTCAGAAGTACCACATAAAATTCCCAGTTTCTGTGTTCTTTTTAAAAACTAGGTCTGGCAAATCTGGCCAGTATTGCTTTTAGACAGGGTATACATTCATCATCACCACTGCTAAACCCAGCCCACATCAGTCAAATCACTGCCAAGCCACTGAGAGCATTTGGATTTGAAAATCTTTAAGTAGTTTCTGCTTTCCAAAAATCTTAGACGCTGGGGGTTTAAAGAAGAAAGGACACCCACCATGCCATTCTCCACTCTTTGAGCTGAGCTCCCTTTGTTTTGTCTACAGCACAACACCCTCAAAACAAGGCAGGGGCAAGCCCTCCTTCTCTCGGGGCACATTCCCAGAGGACAGCAGTGAAGATACCTCAGGCACTGAGAATGAGGCCTACTCCGTGGGTACTGGCCGCGGCGTGGGCCACAGCAGTAAGTACCCTCGCCCAAGGCCAGGGATGCTGGGGCCCCAGTGTCCGGGCCTTACCAGCCCCCTGTCTGCTGATCTGCCCCCTCTCTCCCATTCCTGTGAAGTGGTAAGGAAGAGTCTGGGCCGGGGAGCTGGCTGGCTGTCAGAGGATGAGGACTCCCCGCTGGATGCTCTGGACCTTGTATGGGCCAAATGCCGAGGGTATCCATCGTACCCAGCTCTGGTAGGCTTCTTTTTTTTGTCATATCCCTTGCCTGTCAACCCCAGAACGCAGACTTAAAATTAGTAGACTTTTTCTACTCTCTGCTGAGCTGCAGAGTACAAGGGTCTTTGGCAGGTAGAGTTAGAGGTCCCTGATTAGTTTCTCCAGCTTTCCCTTTTCCTTCCCATGACCCCTTGGGCTCTGAAGTAATTCAGCATAGGAAGAAGGTCAGCATTGCAGTAGCATGATAATCTTTCCTTGTCTCTACTTCAAAGGAGTCTCCAAATTCCTAGGTAGAGTAAGCCTTGGGGAAGAGGGGACTGAACCAAACCAAGGTCTTACTATTCCTTCAGATCATTGATCCAAAGATGCCCCGGGAAGGTATGTTCCACCATGGGGTTCCCATTCCTGTGCCCCCACTAGAGGTGCTGAAACTTGGGGAGCAGATGACCCAGGAAGCCCGAGAGCATCTCTACCTCGTCCTCTTCTTTGACAACAAGCGAACCTGGTAAGGGAGGAGGGGAGCATGTGGTGACTCACAGCCACAAATACAACCCTGGAAATGGGGGCAGACTGTGAGGAAATTCCAGCAACAGACAGGCTGGGCTGTCACCAATTTGTGGGGGAGGGACTTAGGCCTTTAAGAAAAAGTCTGAGCAACTGATTGGGCACAGCTGACAAACAGCTGTGACTAGAAAACAAAGAACCATCAGTGACTGTGACAAATATGGGAGTGGCTCCCCACGCAGATCGAGGTGATTTCTATACTTAGTTTTCCCACCTCTGCCTCCATGGTGACAAGATTAGGATAAAGCAGGCATAAAGTCAGACTCTGAATCCCTCTTCTCTCTCGTTTACATAATGTAATCTTTTTGTTAACTATATGCAGAGGACTTTTAATACCAGTAAAGTCTGCCTGGAGCCTGTGGTACTATTTCAGGTTAGGTCAGGGCTCCTTTTTGCACCCATAAATACCTTGTGGTTACCGCTCAGTGTGACAGTTGACTGGGCTCTTTTATCACTGTGAACAGTTATTTGAGGGCAGGGAACCCCAGTGCCCACCAGAGCCTCGTTCTCAGGAGGTGTTTTTAAATGAGTGAGGAAGGCTGGTGCTTATTGCTCTCCCAGAGATGACTTAATTGATCCTCACTTCATCTTGTAGGCAATGGCTGCCTAGGACTAAGCTGGTTCCTCTGGGTGTGAACCAGGACCTCGACAAGGAGAAGATGCTAGAGGGCCGCAAGTCTAACATCCGCAAATCAGTGCAGATTGCCTACCATAGGGCTCTGCAACACCGCAGCAAGGTCCAGGGCGAGCAGAGCAGCGAGACCAGTGATAGTGACTGATACTGCCCAGCACAGCCCAATCTACGGTGCCCTGCCACCTCTCTCCCCTTTGCTCACTGTCCTGGAGTGGCACCGGCCTCTGCACTGACTCATTCCTGGTCTTGGGGCCAGTCTCAGGGGAAGCTGGGTGGGGGAGGTCCCTCCTGCCCTGAGTGCAGCTGGACTGTACAGAACACTCCAAGGGCCCATGGTAGCTCTGTGCAAAGAGAGGGGAGGTCCCACAGGCCAGAAAGCTCCAGACACCTCACAGCATTGCAGTGCAGGGTGGTGGGCCAAGGTTAGGACACTGCATAAAACAGGCCATCCCATCACCTCTGCCTGCTCATGCCAGGAGAATCCATAACTGCCTAGTGGCCTGAGGCCTGTGCAGGTGATATGGTGAATGGGCATCCGCCCTGCCTAACAGTGGGATTGATGTCTGTCCAGCCTGGACGAGGGGCACTAGGTGACCCCCTCCCCTGCTTTTGTAAATACTGTAATTAGTGGAGAATTTAAATTATTCTCATTTGTAACTGCGTTTCCGGTCGCGCCAGAGTCATTTGGTACTAAAAAGACTGGGGCCTGTCCCCTCTCCCCTCCTTCCCATAGATTCCCCACCTTTCAAACTGGTTTGTATTTATTTCAAAAGAAGAAAATATATTGATTCTTAGAAAATAAATTGTTTGGAATTCTTGGTTCTTGCCTTCTGCCAGGCAAAGGGAGTTTCTGTTCCCCAGGGATGGCAAATAATTGGGCCCAAGTGTTGCTGGCTGCTCTGCATATTGCATTTGTAAGACAACAGCAAAGATAATATGACAGCTCTCATTTCCCATGCACTTACTGAGTGTCAGTACCCATGCTAGCTCCTTTAGATACGGTTTCATGTAATCCTTGCATTAACTATAGGAACGGTTAATAATAGGGTGGTTATTTCTACAAAGACATAGATTTTGAAAAATTAAGTAACTTGCCTAAGTTCTCACTAGGAAGTTGCCAGAAAGCTCCAGAGACCTCACAGCAGTGTAGTGCAGGGCGGTGGGCCAAGGTTAGCACCCTGTATAAACAGGCCAGGAGAAGCCATACTGCCTAGTGGCCTGAGGCCTGTGCAGGTGGTAAGGTGAACGGGCATCCGCCTCTCAGTGGGAATGACGCTGTCCCACTAGCATCTGAACCCAGGTCTGTTGTCTGCAATTTAACCAGTACGTGCAACTGCTAGAGGAAGAGTCAGCTGCGCGTTCTTTCATGAACGTCGGATGTTTAAAGTTCTTCAAGGGTAGGATTGTCCAAGTGTTTCAGAGCCACTAGAGCTGTGACTTTCCCCTTTTTAACTGGGGACAGAGCGGGACTATAGACTGTTGCTGTTGTTCATTCATTCCCAACCCTGGCTCCTTTTCTGATTCAGACATTTTTTGAAGGAATGTCTTCCAAGTGCTAGGCACCCCTGGGCTGCTGGTGTGCCAATGGATGAAACAGTCACAGGAAGCAGATGCGGAGGGTTTGGAGCTACTGAGTGGATGTGCGAAAACAGCATGTCTGATGATACCAAGTTGCTGGTGCCCCCTGCGAGATAATGGGGGTGGGGCACAAAGAAATCAGCGGTAAATCTCGCCCTTCAGTTATCTGCAGTCTAATCATCGATAACCAAAAATCACTATGCTAGGAGGGAAAAAAAAAGGCGCCGGATAAAAGCACAGGTCTAGCTTTTTGTGACTTTCTCCAGAAGGGAAGAAATTACATCTTTGCTGGGCTCAGCCAGCCAGCCGGCCCTGGCAACCGGGCTAGGCAGACAGGCTGCCCCGCGGCCACACGCTGGCGCTTGAACTTTGAGTCGCCTTTCCCAGCCCCCGAGAAGCCCCGACACAAGCCGCATTGGACGCGGCAGTGTGAGATGGGGGAGGACGGAAGGAAAGTCCTCCCGACGAGAGAGCAGCGGAGGCAGGGACAGGAGGCCGATCTGGAGTCAGGCCTCAGAGTGAAGTCTGTGAGGATGCTTAAGACCGGCGGGCGCGGAGACACTTCCTCAGGAGACAGGCGCTGTGGAGACTCCCCACAGGGCTCGGTGGGCTGGCGTTGTGTTCGGGTCCGGGTCCGATTCTCAGTGAGGAGGAGCTCATCGGAGGAGGACTAATAAGAAGGAGCTCATCGGTAAGCGAAAAGCAGACTAGAGAGGCGCGGTGGAGAAAGGCTCTCTGAAGATGGCGGGGGATAGGTTTTGGTTGTGCGGGCCGGCAAGCCTGACGACATCAGCCAGTGAGGACCGGGGGCCTGAGGGCCCCGGCCGGTGGGGACACGCTGTCCCGCCTAATGCGGAGGAAAGGGCCAGCGGCGAGCCCAGCGCGCGCTAACCGCTGAGAGGCCTAGGGAAGGCCCGCCCAGCGCCGCCACGCCCGTTCTCATTGGTGCCTCGTATTTCCCCGCGGATTGGCTACCTCTAAAACGGACTTGAGCCCTACTTCCGGTGAGGCTTCACAGGAAAGGCCGGAAGAGTGCGCTTGCGCGCGCGTCCCAAACTACGGGCGCTTCGGGGTGCAATGGTGAGCGCGCTAGGGCCTGTGGGGCGGAAGGTTTAGGGCAGAAGGTGGGACAGAGTGGAGGGGGCGGGACTTTGGCGGGTGGTAAGGGGCGGGGCCTTCGAGGAGTGGTAGAAGGAAACTGGGCGGACCTTATACAAACATTGAGAGACGAGTATTTCGTGGATTTGGACGAGGCCTTCGGTGAGGGAGGCCTTTGGTTCGTGGTCTCTTAGTGGGCGTGGTCTGCTGGTAGCGAGTAGGTCTGGTTCTGAGTGGGCGGAGCCATTATGGGGCGGAGCCTGATACAGAAATATTAGCCTGCTCCCTTTTGCCTGGTTAGCATGGGGCATCGCACTCTGTCCTCCGTCCCGGCCCTCTGGGCCTCCATCCCCTGTCCACGCTCCGAGCTGCGCCTGGACTTGGTTCTAGCTTCTGGACAATCCTTCCGGTGAGTGACCTTAGCCTGAAGTGCAAAGTTCGGTGTGATGGAAGAAACCTCAATGTATGAAAGAGGAAATTGAGGCAGGGGTGGAGAGCTTGTTACCTTTTTTTTTTTTTTTTTTAATAGCCGGTGATTGTTGTAAGGGTGGGGAAATAGTTGGACATAATAAGCCTGTGCAGTGTTGCGAGGATCAAATGATATAATTGATGTAAAATAAAGCACTTTTACTTTACAAATGATAAATCAGTTTTATGTATGGAAAGGTTGTAGGATGGGAGGGCCCCAAAGGTTGCAAGAAGGGAAACTGAGTGCTAGGGCCCTGTGCCTGGGGTCTCAGGTGGAAGGAGCAAAACCCTGCGCACTGGAGTGGCGTGCTGGGAGACCAGGTATGGACACTGACCCAGACCGAGGAGCAGCTCTACTGCACTGTGTACCGAGGGAAAAGGGGCCAGGCTGGCAGGCCCACACCAGGAGAGCTAAAGGCCCTGCGCCAGTACTTCCAGCTGGATGTCAGCCTGGCTCAATTGTATCGCCATTGGAGTTCCAAGGACCCCCACTTCCAAAAAGTAGCTCAGAAATTCCAAGGTGAGTATAGAGCCTGGGACAGGGTTTGGGTTGGTGTCATTGTAGTTTGGTTAGGTTACTCAGTTTCACCATCTGTAAAGTGAGGATTATATATATCTACCTCATAGGATTTTATGAGGATTAAATGAGCTAATACATGTAAAGTGTTTAGAATAGTGCCTGACACATAGTTGTTATTATTACTGTTATGATTATCCTGCTGATCACCATCATGGAGTGACAGGGATATTGAGCCAAATTCTGGCTGTGGGACCTAGGGCAGGGGACATCATTCATTCTGTAAATATTACAGAGCATCTGCTATGTGACTGGGGATATAGCAGTGAACAAAGTGGACACAAATCCCCACCCTCATAGTGCTTACATTGTGGCTTGTCTGTGGAATGGGATGATGACCCAGACCTCGCAAGATGCTATGAGGAATGATGTTGCTTTCTCTAACAACTTTGTCCCTCATTCCCCTGGGAGCCTACATGCCTAGGATCTGAGAGTGAGAGGAGGCCACTCCTGACAACAGGTGCTTCTCTTACCCCCTGCCTTTCCGATCTTCAGGTGTTCGACTCCTACAACAGGATCCCATCGAGTGCCTTTTCTCCTTCATCTGTTCCTCCAACAACAACATTGCTCGCATCACTGGCATGGTGGAGCGGCTCTGCCAAGCCTTCGGACCTCGGCTCATCCAGCTTGATGATGTCACCTACCATGGCTTCCCCAGCCTGCAGGCCCTGGCTGGTGAGTCGGTGGGTGCCTGCCCCAATGCTCACTAACAGCTTTCAGAGTCTGTTCAGTTCTCCCCTGGTCCCCATCTCCCATCTCAAAGCTTCTTGCCTTCCCAAAGACTGTCCTCATCCAGAATCACCCTGCCTGGTCCGATCAGCCCTAGACATACCTCACCCTCCCTATCTGTCCCTGAAATGTCAGCACCTCACTACTCTGTTTTTTGCCCCATGGTTTCAATGCCTCATCAGAAAAACATCCATATGCAGTGTGTAATAGGTTGGGGTTAAATGCATATGCTTTTTATTTTATTTTTTTAAGAGAAAGTTTATTTAGAAAGTCACAGAGGTAGAAGTGAGCTGTAAAAGAAATGGGATCAGGAAACAAGTTACAGAGGCAAAAGAAGAACCCTCGGAGCTTCGGAGAAAGAGAGAGGCAAAGAAAATGCACGTTGGCAGATGTGGGTGAGGAAAGGCACCGGCGTGCTCCATAGAGAGAAACCTCTACACACATGTTCTGGAAAGAGAGTGCCTTAGTCTGAATCCCAACCCTGGCACTTATTTAGCCTCTCCTCTGTTTCTTCATCTGTGGAATGTGATAATAACTTATCAGAGTTGTCACAAGAGTTGAGTAAAAGAATAACACATACTGCACCTAGTACATTGTTTGGCCTATGGGAAATACGCAGAAAATTCAAGTTGCTATCTGTATAGTGAATCCAACAATTTTGTATTCAGGAACACACATTCTTTACAGCAGTCCTGTGAGGCAAGTTTTACAGAGATAAATATCTCTATTGGCAAAAGTGAGGACCAAGTTAGGGGAAGTGCTTGGGAAATGTATAGTAAGGAGACAGCCTGCCTGAAAAAAAAAAAAAAAAGAATGTTTTTGGTGCTTAGAAACCCAGTCTTGTACCTTAGCTTCCAGCTTAGTATTCATAAGAACTCAAGAAATTCATTCACCTCTTCAGGCTTCTCTTAACTTGTTTGTAGGATGGGGATAACAGTTCCTATCTAGAAGGGTGAGAGGGAATAAAGCAATCATGAAGCGGGTTTAGAGCACATGAGTTGGTGTTTCAGATCCAGCTGCAGATCCCATCTCCACCGTGTCCTTTCTTCAAGTTACTTAACCTTTTCTAAGTCATCATTTTGAAATAGGAAAAACAGCCCAGCTAGTGTTGCTCAGTGGTTGGGTGTTGACCTATGAATCAGGAGGTCAGGTTTCGATTCCTGGTCAGGGCACATGCTCAGGTTGTGTGCTTGATCCCCAGTAGGGATCATGCAGGAGGCAGCCGATCAATGATTCTCTCTTATCATTGATGTTTCTATCTCTCTCTCCCTCTCCCTTCCTCTCTGAAATCAATAAAAATATATTTTTTTAAATAGGAAAAAATATAGCACTATTATCAGGGTCCTTGAGAAAAATGAGTGTGATAATGTATCCAAAGCACTTTGTCCATATTTGATAACCAGCACTTGATCATAGAAGCTCTTGCTATTATTATGACTATATTTTAGATCATGGGTGTGAACAGCCCTTTGGAAAGGTTAAGAAATTCAGTTGGGGAGTTCCTCCAGGGCAGCAAGCCCTCCTGAGTCCCTGCTCCAGTGTCCAACACATAATAGGTGTTCAGAAAACATTTGTACAGGGGTAGAACCCAGACCTTAACCCTGTCCTTTGCACATGCAAGTATCCCAGGGTCTCCCAGAGGGTGGTGAGATGGGAGAGGGGTGCTTAGGAAAGCATTCCTGTGGGGTGGAGGGCTCACACTAGCCTGAGGACATAAAAAGATTTGAGGATGCCTGACCCTGCTCCTTTCCCCACCCTCCTACAGGGCCAGAGGTGGAGGCTAAGCTCAGGAAGCTGGGCCTTGGGTACCGTGCCCGCTATGTGAATGCCAGTGCCCGAGCCATCCTTGAAGAACAGGGGGGGTTGCCCTGGCTGCAGCAGCTGCGCAAGGCCCCCTACGAAGAGGCCCACAAGGCCCTCTGCACCCTGCCTGGAGTGGGCACCAAGGTGAGGCCTCAAAGCAGGTCGGAGCTACCCTCAGACCACTCATGTAGAGAGTAACAGAGCAGGAGACAAGGCAGGCCTGAGAGCTGGGTGCAGGCTCAGCTTCTGGAGGCAGAGCAGGAAGGAGAAATGATACAAGCAGATACTTTATTAGAGAAAATGCAAAAAGGGTATGAAGGACATTACCCTCTGAATGCATTTGTAGAAAGGCCATTTGTTCAGGTGCACGTATACACTGCTATATATATATACACAGAAATTTCCTGAAGGAATCACAGGGAACTTAATAGTGGTTACCTTTGGGAAGACACATAGGAAGGTATTTCTACTTTTATTCTTCTTGTGAATTATATGTACTTATAAAATTTTTTCTTTAATTCCAACAAGAGGATTGTGAATCCGACATTTATTGTGTTCTTCTGTAAACTTCTCTGCAGTTTTGTTTAAAGAACTTTTTTTTAATGGACTCTGAACTTCACTCTAACATTAAGTCCTTGTTTTGCTTCTTCCTAGCCCTGTAACTTGAGCCAAGTCACTTTACCTTTCAGAACCTCAGTTATCTGCAAAATGAATATAGTACCAGCTTCTTTTCAGGTTATGAGAACTTGGCCTATGTTGATATTCATGCAGTAGCACTCTCATCACATCTGTATTTAAAATTATTTAAATACAGTATCCCAGTATATAATGATTGAGACTATAGAATAATAACCTCAGAGTGGAGGAGGAAGGATAGCTGGCTTTGGGATAGAAGCAGGATGCTGCCTGAATCCTGCCATTCCTCCTCTTTTTCCCTCAAAGGTGGCCGACTGCATCTGCTTGATGGCCCTAGACAAGCCCCAGGCCGTGCCCGTGGATGTCCACGTGTGGCAGATTGCCCAACGTGACTACAATTGGCACCCCACAACAACCCAAGGCAAGGGTCCAAGCCCCCAGGCCAACAAGGAACTAGGTAAGGAGAGAGGGAGATGCCAGGGCTGGCAGTAGGCTGAGGTGGTAAAAACTTCTCACCTCTCCCTAATACCCCACCACTGTGGATGGGGAGTGGAAGGGGCCAATTTGTTTTGCCTCATTATCTCTGATTTAGGAAACTTTTTCCGGAGCTTGTGGGGACCTTATGCTGGCTGGGCCCAAGCAGTGAGTATACCTAGGCTTCCTCTCCTCCAGCCTAGACCCCATAGGACTTCTCCCCAAGCCCTGACCCGCGGACTCTTCTACTGTCTCTGCCCTAGGTGACCCTAAAGGATTCTCTACCCTCCATCCCCAGCCCTGACTCTAGTGGATTTGTGTTGCCCTGGGCCTGCTCCCCAGTAATTCCCTTTCTCCCCACACTACCACCAGCCTACCAGCCCTAAACCCAGTGTACCCTGTCCCACATAGACTCTCCCCCTGTCCCCAGGTGCTGTTCAGTGCTGACCTACGCCAGCCCGACCAAGAGCCTCCAGCAAAGCGTAGAAAGAGATCCACAGGGCCCGAAGTCTAGGTGGGGGGCACAGGACAAAGGGATTCTCCCAATACCTTTTCCCTCCATTCCCCATACTCTCCTCCATCCAGACTCATGTGGGGAAGGGGGCTCCATGCAACTACCTCAGGGACCAGATACCCTCAAACCAAGCAGTTTGCATAACAGTGTGGGGTGGGGGCGTTATCTGGGGAGACAAAGCTACCTTTGGTTTTATCCTCTTCCCTTTATTACAAGAAGGAACAATAAAATAGAAACATTTGTATGGAAAATGCAGTGGGGGAGTGGTAGGAAAAGGGGTGGGGTGGGGTTGGGTGGAACAGGGTAACCCCAGTTGAAGGAGAGAAGGGGAGCAGTCTGCCCCCAATCTCTCACACACAGGGGATCCTGACCCTGGATCCAGGGACCTAGAGCTGGGGGGACAGCCTGGGGGACATTTCCGGGCCTGGCTCCACACAGCAGTCTCGACAACAGCAGCCAGCCACTGGCCCTACATGGGGAGAGAACAGACTTGGCTGTAGAAGCAGACCCTCCACTCCAGCCTGGGTGCCTCTTCATGGACCACCCATACCCTTCCACAGAGTCCTGGTCCTCACCCCCAGCTGCTGGTGTCAGCAGCTCCCCGTGGCTCGCCGTCGGTCCCTGCCCCTCCTGGCTGGTGCCCAGCTGTAGCTTCCTCATGTGCCGCACCACAGCCGTGGCATTGAAGGCTTGCTGTGGGAAGAGGGGGGAGAAGGGACTTTTGAGAGAGTGGGAGATCATGGGGCAGGGTCTGGTGGTGGGATTCTTGCAGTGGTTCTGTTATTTTCAGGTGTTATTGATTGAATCCCTAAAACCACCTGAAATATCTGCAAGCCTTTATTAAATTATATTCAGCCATATTACGTATTTACACACACATACACACATATATAAAAAGTATATAAACAGATATGTAACTTTTATATATAATTCATTCACATAATAGCAAACACAATATAGCATATTTCAGGCATCGTTCTAAACACTTTACATAATAATTCATTTAATCTTCATGGAAATCTTCGAGGTGAGCACTATTAGTGTCATCATTGTCAAAGGAGAAACTGAGGCACAGAGCGGTTAAGTAACTTTCCCCGGTGTGTATATATCATTACTTAACATATCCCCTGAGATGTCTCCATAAAACCCTCAAATTCACTGTGTCCAAAACCAAAGTAATCCCCTAAGACAAGTATCAGGCCAGCCCTTGACATCTCTCACATCAATATTCATTCTACCATCACTTCTTGTCAATCCCACCTCCTAATTGACTCCTGGACCAACCACTGTTCCCTGTTCCTGTTGCCTCTGCTCTGGTCCAGCCCTCACTGTCTCCGGCCTGCCTCTCTGCCACATCCTCCTAAGGGGTCTCCAAGCCTTCACTCTGTTCCTCTCTCTGCATCCTGAGAGCCCTTTCTAAAGGGCAAATGTAGGATCAAGTCAGTGTTCCACTGTGGCATTTGAGACCCTAAGCAGCCTGGGCCTGCATCTCCAGCCTGGGCCCCACATCCCAGAAGCCCTCACTGCCCCCAAAGCCCTTCCAGTACAGCCACGCTTAGCACTGGCACTTCCTTGAATGTCTGCACTTTCGCTTGTTCTTGGCCCTTTGTACATTGGTTCCCTCTGCCTTAGACATTATTCTACTATGCCTAGCCAATTCCTACCCAGCTGTAGGTCTATAAGGCCATCGCCACCTTTATGCCCTTCCAGGACCCTGTAGGTTGGATTAGATGTCTCCTTAAGAATTATTTACTGTTCTCCCTCTAGACTTGGAGGTCAGGGACCTTCACCGGAATAGAGTAGGTGTCGGGGAACATTGAATGAATGAAAGGTTCTTTGGTAAGCATCCTTGTGCAGTTACTGTGTACCCGACGTGGTGCTAGGTGTTGTGCAAGCTGAGGCATGGTTGCGGGTGGGGAGGAATTCTGGGGAGGCTGGGACCCAGGACTAGGAATGTGGGCTCACCTTCCACTTGCTCTTGGCAAAGTTCTTCTTGATCTGCTCACTCACTGACTGGTGAATATTCTTATCTAGAGCCGTATCACCTGCAATCCTAGGGTAAGGGTATGTGGAGGATTATCTGTGAAAGCAGAGGAAGGCCTGGGGGCCCCAGGCCCTACCCCAGTTCACAGCTCATGGAAGCTCTCACCATGGGTGCTGCAAGGCCTGCTCACAGGTGAACCTCTTCTCTGGATCCTTCTCCATCAGGTGCCTGATGAAATCTTTGGCTGAACCCCCAAGACAAAAGTAAAGACAGAAAGAGCATGGTAGTGCCTGGGGACACCACCAAAACAGAGCCCACCCCCTCAGGTCTGGCATCCAAGCAAGATGAGCTGCCAGATTTGTTCATGCACCATCTCACCCCACCTGTTCTTTTTCTCTAAGCCAGGGGTCCTCAAACTTTTTAAACAGGGAGCCAGTTCACTGTCCCTCAGAGAGCCAGTTCACTGTCCCTCAGACCGTTGGAGGGCCAGACTATAGTTTTAAAAAAAAACTATGAACAAATTCCTATGCATACTGCACATACCTTATTTTGAAGTAAAAAACCAAAATGAGAACAAATACAATATTTGTATTTGCATGTGGCCCGCAGGCTGTAGTTTGAGGACCCCTGCTCTAAGCCCTCCACACACCCAGGATTCCAGCTCTCCTTTTTCCCTTAAGAAAAACTTGTTCTTAGAAGATTCTACTCAGTGTATTCACACTGATGTGTAAATGATTGATAATGGTTTCACAGGTTTGCCTCCTACTAGGAGGCACAAAAGGGCAGATGAAAACATTTATGTGGTGGTGTAGGCATTAGGATGTCAGTGGGGGAGAGGGAAGGGGATTATTTTCAAAAATACTATGTTTGAAGACTGAATGAATGAATGCCTATAGGTTTCTCAGATCACGGCCAGGCAGAGGGAAGAGCCTGGGGAGATTGTCTCAAAGACAGCTCTTAGTCTGGGGCCCATCTGACTTAAGGAAGGCAGTGAGGAGACCCCAAAGCAGATGAGGAAGGCACCAGAGGCAGGGCCCAGGAGAAGAAGGCAAAGCCCCAAATACCAGAGTCAGAGATGTCGTCCCAGTAAGGAGAGTCAAACTCGTACTCGGCCTTCAAAATCTGTTCAAAGAGTTTGGCATCATTCTCGTCATAGAAGGGGGGGTAACCGCAGAGCCTGGGCAGGGAGAAACTCATCCTCATTTTCCATTTTCAGTGTACCCACTGGCTCCTGGATGGAGCTTCGGGGCAGTCCCAGGGGTTAGGCAAGACCCACAGGAAGGAGTTCCCCCTTTTACAAAGGGGGCTGAGGGAATCTACCTCTCTCTGCCTTGTTCACCCCTGTCCAGTTTTACTTTCTATTCCTTAACATGCCACCATCTTTCCTTCCTCAGGGCCTTTACACTTGATATTCGTGTCTGGCTCACTCACATCATTTAGGATGCCACTCAAATGTCACCTTAGAGAGGCCTTCCCTGACCTTTTCATCTAAAATGGCATCCATTGCCCTCTCCCTACCCTGCTTCATTTTTCTTCATAGCACTTTTTACCACCTGACATTTTATGGATTTATCAACTTGTTGTTCACTGTTTATTTACTTGTCTCTCTGCCCTACTAGAGTGTCTGCTCCCTGAGGGCAGGCACTTTGCCTGTTTTGTTCTTTGCTAAACACCCAGTGCTTGGTGCAATGTCTGAAACATAGTATCTATTAAATGAAATAATATTAGTCATTAATTGGTAGACAAAAATGTGGAGGGCAGGAAGGGAGAAATTGCAGAGAGGAAGAGAGCAGTAGGGGAGAAGAGAACTCTGGAGCCATACACCCCAATGGCCAAGACCCCACTCACAGGATATAGGCAATGACTCCAATGGACCAGCAATCCACTGCCTTGCTGTAGGGTTTCTGGGCCAGGACTTCAGGGGCTATGGAGGGAAGAGGACATGGTGACAAATCTCTGCCCTGCAGCTCCTGGTTCCTCCCCTGCCCATGGTCCCAGCCCAGGGCCCTCCGCACCCACGTATCCCGGAGTCCCGCAGGCCGTGGAGAGTACACTGCCAGGGTCCTCCATCTTGGAGAGGCCAAAGTCAGAGATCATAATCTTGGAGTCTTCATCCAGGTTGTAGTACAGCAGATTCTCTGGCTTAGAGGACAGGAGGGAAGGGAAGGGGCAGTCAGAGATGGCCAAGCACCCCCTGCGAAACAATGGACCCCCAAAAACCTCTATGGCTTCACAGCTGCCATCTTAGTTGGAGGCACAAGAAACTCAAGGAGGTTAAACGTTCTAGAAGGGACAAGGACCATGAAGATGTGGGAGGGAATTTTCCTGTAAACCTCAGGTATTTACTGTGAAGCCCTAAAGAAATAATATTTGAGCACCTACTGTTGGCCAGATCTTGTGCTAATGCTTGATTTCATTGCATCCTTACCACATCGCTATCAGGCCAGTCTGAATAATCCCACCTTACAGATGAGGAAACCGATGCCTTGAGAGGAAAAGTGACTTTCCTGAGAACCTACAGTGAGGGAGTAACAGGGCCAGGATTCAAACTAGATCTGGCCTTCTAGACTGGAATGAGACGTACTACCCAATGTGAACCTCATCATAATCTCTGAGAATTAGGATTTCGGGGGTTTCTAGATTTTTTTTCATTATGTTTTGCTCTCCCATCCAAGTTTTCTACAAAGAGCAAGTGGGAATTTTATTATAAGAAAAAGACACAAGCCATTATTTGGATAAAATGACAGTAGAGTTCACCTTTCTGTCCATTTGAGTGTCTGAACTGGAATGGGAGGAGGCAGTTTAGGGCTTAAAAGGTCCATTTTGCAGATGGGAAGCCAAGGTTCAGAAAAGGGGTGAGAGTTACCCAAGGTTTCACAGTGAGTGTGCAGAGCCCCCACCCCTGGGTGCCCCAGCTCATCATACCCTCACACCTCACCTTGAGGTCCCGGTGTACAATGCCCAGGTCATGCAGGTATTTGACAGCATCCAGCACTTGGAATATAAGACGGCTGGCGTCCCGCTCTGTGTAAAAGCCTTTTTCCACAATGCGGTCAAACAGCTCCCCTCCTGACACCCTGCAGCAGGGAACAGGGCAGTTTGGCCAAGAAAGCAGGAGAAGCAGGGAGGCTAGGAAGCGGGCAGCAGAGAGAGGTGTGATGAAGGGTTAGAGTCGAGGCCACTCACAGCTGCATGATGAGATAGAGGTGGCCCCCACTCTCATAGATGTCATCCAGGGCAACAATGTTGGGGTGCTTGATCCTGAATAGAGAAATGAGGTGGGTCAGAGCTGAGGACAGCTCAGCCCCCTTCCCACCTTCACCTTGAAGGACCACCGCCTGAAATCTGGGTAGGATAAACCGAGGATCTGGATCCCAAAGGGAAAAGCTGATTTACCACAATGGGTTATAATGTATTAGAAGGCAGGAGAGCATAGTGATAAACACTAGACTCTGGCATTGGACAGACTCTGGTCCAAACCTGCTTCTACTACATGCTATTTGGGGACAAGTCTTTTCACCTGACAGTGCTGATCAACACATGATTTTTAAAATTTTTCTGTGTTGGTAAATCTGTCAGTTTACACGACACTAGGGGCTTTATCTTGCTCACCACTGTACCTCCTGCACCTGGTGCAGATTAAGTGCTCAGGAACATTCACTGAATTGAGTGTAACCTCTCTGAGCTTCAGTTTCTTATCTATATACTAGATGCATGAAATTCGTGCAAGAGTAGACCTTTGCATTCCTGGCTGCCTCAGCCCTCACAGCCCCGGCTTCGTCTGGAAGGTCATCTGGGTGGTCGTTCGCTGTTCGGTCGATTTGTATATTACACTTTTATTATCTATATATATAGAAGCCTAAGCAACCCTTATGACCAAATGACTGGAACGACTGGTCGCTATGATGCACACTGACCACCAGGGGGAAGACGGTCAATGCAGGAGCTGCCCCCTGGTGGTTCGTGCACTCCCACAGCCCACCTCCCTTGGCCGGCTAACCTCCCATGGTCCCTCCCCTTTGGCTGGCCAACTTCCTGCGGTCCCTCCCCCTGGTCAGGCCCCAGGCTGGGACGAGGAACTGGGGGTGAGTGGCGGCAGCAGACAGCCAACCTCCCATGGTCCCTCCCCCTGTCCCTCTTCACAGCCAGCAGGCCCTGGTGGTGGTGTGGCGGTGAGGGAAGGAGGAGGGGGGGAGGCGGGGGAACTGTGTGGTGGCAGGGCACCAGCGGTGGTGTCGGTGTCCAGCATCCATTCCTTCCGCACCTGGCCTGGCAACTGTTGCCTCCTCTCCCAACCCCGTCCAGCCCCTGATCCTAGGGACCCCACCCGTGCACAAATTTCATGCACCAGGCCTCTAGTTATAGATATAAAAGCCTAAGCGACCATTACAACTGAACTTCCCACCCCCCTGGCCAACCTCCCGCAGTCCCTCCCCCTGGCCAGCTGGCCCTGATCGGGACTGGATGAGAAGGCCCTGTTTGGCCCCGATCGCTGGCCAGGCCAAGGGACCCCACCTGTGCACGAATTCATGCACCAGGCCTCTAGTCTATAATATGAAGCCAATGATAGTACTTCCTTCAAAGACAGGGTGAGGATCACATGAGATAATGCAGGTAATATAAATAAGATGCTTGGTATAATGCCTGGCACATAGTAAATGCTTTAAAAAATATACCAGTGATGGTGATTGAGCTTGATGGAAGACTTTCTGTGTGACCTTGGACAAGTCCTTTGCCTTCTCTGGGCCTGTTCCCTCACCCCTACCACCAATAGTAGAAATGATCATTTTGTCCCTGCACAGGGTGGTTGGAAAGCTCAGGGAAGAAACTGGAAGTGAAGATTCTTTTAAGTCTTTTAGTGAGGCAGCAAGTTTCATATCAGCATGAGCAATTCATAGACCAGGTGTTGTTGATTTAGTCAGAAGGTCAGCACACAGGCATATTTGACCTTATTGAATAATGGCTTTTTATGTTGGAGAACTTGGGGTAGGTCTAGCGATAACACCAGTTGAGATAAGTGGGTTCAAGCCCTGCATAGAGTTGACCTTTAGATCTGATTGAACAGATTAAACCTCTGTAAATAAGCAAGGACATCTCAATCTCATCTGTCATGTTAGCTATTGTGCCAGGCACTTGAAATAAAGGACCACTTAGGCTGTCCACAAACTTGACAAGTGGAGATCATTACCCCATTTTATAAATGAGTAATTTGAGGCTCAGAGAGGTTTAATGCTTTCCCCAAAGCAGGGGTCAGATGGAGATGGAAAGGGTCAATCTGGGCAGGGACAGGCTATGGCTCACGCACTTGTGCAGCACAGCAATCTCATTTTCCATGCTGCCCTCCTTGCCCTCCAGAGCCTTCTTGGCGATGCATTTGATGGCCACCAGCTTCTGAGTCCTTTTGTCTTCTGCCAGGATTACCTCTGAGAAGGCCCCACTGCAGGGAAAGGTATTCATGAGACAGGAACCCGGAACCCCAGTTTACCTCCAGTCTTTCCTCCATTTTCTGTGAGTTTTGTGACCACCTCTGGACCAAGGAGGTGGGATGAGACTCCCTCATCACTCATCTGTCCTCTAGTGCCAATCGGAGTAGCCCTGGCCACGGTAATTGATGTGATGCAAGCCAGGTTATTGGCACTTTGAGAATGTGGTACTCTTTCCTGCTAAGCTGGTAGAATATAAGCCTGGGAATAATGGTAGTCATCTTCTCAACCTGCTTGAGAATGAAGCCAGCACAAAGGAAATCAGAGCTGAGAAATAGTCCAAGACAATTTCCTGATAACATAATGTGAGCCTGGGCTTTTTTATTATGTGCATGATTGATTCCTTTTTCTGCTAAAGCCAATGTGAGTCATGGCTAATTTAACACCCTTTAGAACCTTAAAATACCATCTGCATTACCTGGAAACTGTTTATAAATGCAGAATCTCTGCTCCCAACCCAGACCTACTAAATCAGAATCTGCATTTTAATATGATGCTTAGTGATTTGTATGTTCACTGAAGTTTGAGAAGCAATACTTTACAACAGGCTCCTAGAAAGAAACAAACTCAGTTGCACTGGAGTTCACTGATTAAGGAGGGTTTACTAGAGTATTTTTTCTACAACGTTTTGAATAATAGGTCATAAGTCAAATAAAAGCATCTCCCATGGTGAAATCTCAATCATCAGGTAACTAGTGACTGTGATAGTCTCATTGCTGGTTTCCAGCCCTGTTCCTCTCCAACTAACTCTCCATACTGTGGTCAGAGTGACCATCTTGAATTGCAAACTTGTCAAAAAGTCTTAAATGTCTTCCTGTGGCCTGTGGGATAAAGTCCAGCCTCCATAGCTTGGCTTTCAAAGCCATGTATGACCTGTTCCCTTCTCTTCTCCAGCCTTTTCCACTCTTCCCCAGTCTCTGATGATAAGCTCCACCTGACTCTACTCCTTTCCACACAAAACATGCCTCTGAGCCTTTGCTTATGCTATCCCTTCTGCTTGGAATGTCTTTCTCTTTCTCGGACAAGTACACTCCTACCCATCTTTCAATACCCAGCTCTAATGCCCTCTTCTCCAGAAAGTATTTCCCCAGGCAGAAGCCACTGTTCTCTCTGGGCTCTACAGAGTCTCATTCTCTTCTTTAATTGGAGCCCAGTATGCACCCTGTTGGGATTTTCCATGTGTCTGTCTCCCTCACATGTTTGAGAACAACTTGAGGGCAGAGACTAGGTTTGAGTTATTTCTGGACTCCCGGCACGAAGAACAGAGCCATGCCCATCTGTAGTTGCCAGACATAGGCCAGAACTCCCAGCCCTTGGCAGCAAGTTGAATAAACTGGCTCCTTCATTCTCCCCTACTTCCTTCTCTCCATGGGAACCCAGAGCTATGGGAAGAGAAGCTCCTGTTCTATCCACTGCTGGCCAGAAATGAAAAGCCAGTATCAGCCATGGCAAGGCTGCTATAGGGCTGGGCTGTAGGAAACAGGAAGTAGTGATCAACTGACCAGAGGAAGCACCACCCTGGACTCAGCCTTCCCAGCCAACCAGGCCAAAAGTGAAGACCTTCCCAACCCCACCCTTCAGCTCAGGGACAGCCCCCATTCTCTCCTGCCGTGAGACTCACGTTCCCAGAACATCACGGAAGTCGTAAATGTCCCTAATGTTCTCCGCCTGCTTCCAGTTGGGGCCTTCCACTGCCCCCGGCATGGCCCACTGCCCCCCGGCCACAGCCAGGGCTCCTAGAAAGGGGGATGGATGGAAAAGACTCAATAAGGCCCAGACTTCTATGTACTGGGAACCCCATTCTGTCATTCAGGCTGCATCTATTCATTCTTTGATTCATTTATATGACAAAATCATTTAACAAACATTCATTTACCAGTCATTTATTCATTTAGAAAACCCTTATGCCTAGAGGAAAATCCTTCATGGTGGTAGCAAAATTCTTTATTCAACAAAGTCATTCACTCATTCATTCATTTATTCAGCTCATCTCCCAGTTCCTCCCTCTCCAAATCCAAACACCCCACGAGACCCCGGCCTCCCAAAGGACAGCAGAGGCCTCAGAACAGCTTGTAGAGGCACAAAACCCGGGAGGAACCCTCTATCCCCAGAACCAGCAATGTCCCAGCCCCACCCTTGGAATTGCTGGGGTGTCTCCTCTCCCTCCTCCTTCTCCACACTCAGCCTCTCGGAAATCAGGCTTCCAGCAGCCAGGGCTTTCAGCAATATCTCAGCCACAGTTTTAAATAGCTCCTTCTGCATAGTTACCATGGCAACAGCAGCCACAGCTGGAACTTGCCAGGATTCCTATTTCCCCCTTCCCACCTGACTCCCTATCTGGGTCTTAGCAGCTCGAGAAATGGTCTCACCCAGCCTGTCCCCTCCTCACTTCACCTGACCGTGATCCAGCCTATACCTTATTCTGCTGAGATCCTGTCTGCAGGAGAGGATGGGAGTTATTTCTCCATTTATCAGATGGCGAATGTGGGGACAGAGGTCCAGTTTCCCAAATGAACCCCTGCTGGGGCCCAACTAAGTTTGCTGAGAGCAAAGGCCTAGAGGGGTTCTTCTTGGGTTGGAAGGCCTGACCTCAGCTGGTCCTTCCAATATGCAGCCAGACTGGGCCCATTCAGCGACCATAACCTCCCAGTCCTATCCCAGGCCCACAAAGGAAGAAGCTGAAACGGTCCAGCACGCTGGACCCTCAGGGAAGGCACTTTCCTCCTCTCTGCAGGAGAGTGTGGGGAAGGCGCCCTGACCACAGCCTCTGGTGTGAGGTCCCACTCCTCTGACAGGACCTCCTTCCCAGGGGGCCTGGCCAGCCACACCTTCAGAAAGTGAGACTTGATAGTAAGCTCTAGAGCAGTGGTTCTCAACCTTCCTAATGCTGCGGCCCTTTAATACAGTTCCTCATGTTGTGGTACCCCCAACCATAAAATTATTTTCGTTGCTACTTCAGAACTGTAATGTTGCTACTGTTATGAATCGTAATGTAAATATCTGATATGCAGGATGTATTTTCAATGTTACAAATTGAACATAATTAAAGCATAGTAATTAATCACAAAAACAATATGTAATTATATATGTGTTTTCCGATGGTCTTAGGCGACCCCTGTGAAAGGGTTATTCGACCCCCAAAGGGGTCGCAACCCACAGGTTGAGAGCCGCTGCTCTTAGAGGCAGAGTTTTATTATTTATTTATTTATTTATTTGAGGCAAAGTTTTAAAACCCACCTGGAGGCTGGCACATACAACCCTCACCGTTTCAAACATGTCCTTGTACCCAGACATACCACACCAAGCCCCACCCACATCTCTAAACCCAAACACCTGCCCACAGATCCAGCACACTCCATACCCAGATACCCTGACACCTGATAATATATGCACACCCAGACATCAGCACATATATCCAAACACATGATCCCCCAGACATCCTCACGCCTGAATATCCCTCCCACAGGTCCCTCTCACACCTTGACACACATCTGTATGTACCTAGACCAGATGATACCCAAAAAAACAACACACTCACCCATCACCTGTATACCCGACATCCCAGATTCATTCATATCCTTCACTCTCCAGTTCCAATACACTCTAAGCTCCAATACTAGAAACGAACCCCAACAACTTACACACTTACCTTCAAACGTCCTCAGCACACAATCATATACCCCACCCTCCACTTTTACTACCTTTTGAGATACCAGCATGCACAACATCTGGACACATATCTGCAACAGAAACACTGATTACCAGACATCCCCACCCGTAAGGACACACACCAACACACTGCAACTCTGCATATGATCCACATGCCTGTGCTAAGACATGAGCACACCCCAACACAGCCCCTCACATCTCTACCTCCAAATGCCCAGTCCTTCCACATTCAGGCCCAGCTGCTTGTACACACACACACTCCGCCCCACCTTCCTCTATTATCCATTCAGTTCTCCACCGGCCCTCCTGGCACCTGCTGGTCCTAGGGCAGAGGTAGTGGGGAAAAGGCCCACCCAGCCCTGCCTATCCGGAATCCAGCCAGCCTCGACACCCCCTCTCCTCCTTGGGGGAGGGCATCCAGCGGCTGCAGGGTCCGGCTGCCCCTCCTAGGCGCCCAGGGTTGAAGGCGGGACGCCCCCGCTGCCCTCCCCTCCAGTACCTGCAGATGCCCCG